TATCTGTAAAATTTCGGCAGTGTAGAAGGACGTGTTTGATAGTTAGAGCTTCTCCGCAGGTTGTGCATTGGGCAGGATCGTCGTGTCTCATGAGAAAGCTGTGTGTAAGCCACGTATGYCCGATTCTGAGTCTATTAATTATGACTTCGTGGCGTCTCTTGGAAGTGTGTGTTGGCCAAGGGTTGATGGAAGTTTTGATTTCATTTAACTTTATCGACATTTATCATAACTAATTTTTATAAATTCGCTTTTTCTTCCGTGGCTTTTGTGTTCCAGTGAATTTGTTTCCCATGCCTTATTTTTCCTATATTTGCACAAATCCTTAGTATTATATATTATTAATCAATGATAAAACTTATTGAATAAAATACATAGATATCCAATTATAGAACTGTAATATTAATTTTAATATTATAAAGGATTCTTGAAAATCGAAATTCAAAAACTCTCAGACGAATCCCCCAACAAATCCGTCGCGACTAGTTTAATCTAATGTACCGATCACTAATTAGTGACCGAAAATAGTAAGTGACAGACTTGGATGTCAGGCTAGATTATAGGCATGTTACAATGCGTGACCGGTAAACACTGTTGATCCCACTTTCGAAGAGAGTGTGATGTTTAATATGTACACTGGACAAATATAAATTTCGTTTTATGGTGTTTAGTGCGCTTTAAGAAGACCGATAAATTACGGTGGCCGACGATTGTTAACAAGCGGATATCGTGTTCTGTATACTCTTATACGTCATATATTATATATATATATATATATATATTATATAAATACACGTTTTGCTAAACTTGTTTGTTTTTGTAAACACGGCATAAGATGGCAGAGCAAGACATGTGTAGAAGGTGAGAGAGGAGAAAATGTAAAGGAAAAAAACCAATGGATAGAAAGAAGCAGCAAACACACACATACACTCGTACAGACAGACACACACACACACATACACATATACAAGCTATTACACAAACGGTTGGGATTGTGGCGCGTGGGAAATCGGACACCCGGCTGTTCGCTTTTCGTTTTCGCCGTCGCCGCCTGGCAGTGGGAAGAAAAATCAAAAAGAAAATACGCCCGCCCTCTATATACACAGAGATACTGTATGTGTGTGAGCGTGTATACAGTGCATGTATAACTTAATTACCCCTTCGGCGTGAATACCGTGCCAGATTATCTTTTCGCGTGGGATTACGCGACCGACGCTCATTAACTGTCACGCCGTTTTGGCGCGAACAACCGTTGAAATTCAGAAGATTACATTTGCATCGTCGTCGTTGCGTTCGACAGAAAGGYGGAGAAGGGTTTTTTTCGTGGATTTACAGTCGCTGGCCAGGCGGAGTAGGATAAACCTATAAGCGATTACAAWAAAAAAAAATAAAAAACGTTTCGGTTATCTTGTAATTAGGTCGTTGAGCATTTTGCAACGAATCCCCACGAGCTGGTCGTCTCATCGAGATCAACGTTATATTTATTGTTAATATATTATATATATAATATATACACATAATACTTATAAATACTGGAATGATAATAGGTACAACTATATATGATTGTTAATTTGTTTTACACAGGTGGTATACTATTACTATATTAATTTGGATATGCTAATATGAGGTTTAAAAATTATGTTTGAATATTCTTTTTATCCATTTTAAAATATAGGTACACTGGCCAATTCAAGATTCGTTCACGTTCCATTTTTATATCATAGAATTTCTCTTATTTTTCTCTTATTCTTGGATCTATTTTAAGTTATACAACATAATATACTACAAATAGTTGTTTAGTATATATAAGTATAATAGCTATTATATATACAGCTGTGTACCAAGTATACTTTTATACTGTTATACTTTCAAAAACCACTGATAAAAAAAAAGTTAATTTATATTTAAATAATATACTATCGCGCATTGTACGTACACGGTACACCTATATACGTACGAGTATACCTAATATGTGTGTGCGTAAGTGGATGCATGTTATACGAATGTTATATTGAACGTAAACATTAAGGTCTGAATAAAGAAAAGAAAAAAAACAAATAACCCATCATCGAGCAGATGATGGAAAGAAAGATCACCCGCAGCCATTCACATTTGCATATATTCATRTATACGTATCAACGTATATATGTAATGTAATATACGGTGCACCAGTATGTATAGAGGGCAATTTGTTATGAAAAGTAAACGCTTCTTTAATGCGTTTTCGACCCTACTACACCTCAACCACTCTTGTTTATTCAGCAAACCCTTTTACGTATTGTTTTTCGACACATGCATTTTTTTAACCTGCTGCAGAACATAAAAAAAAGTTGTCACAAGCTAAAAGCACTCATTCTTAAAATGTCCAACCTACGTGTATTATTATACATATATGGAGGTATATTACACACATCTATATACTACGACCTACTGACAGAGTTAGTAATATAAAACAAATGTACTAATGCGTATTAGTGTATACTTTGTAGAGATTACATTCCAAATGATGTGATTATATTCTTCTCTTTTCAATACAAACAATAAGATAACGAAAAAATTAACTTACCAGCTGTAACTAATACTTGTAAAAACATGACTCATAAGAACTTATYTATCTACAGTACTTATACCTACGGAAATTATTATTAGATATTATTGGAACGTTGGCACAATTATTATATAGTACTATAGAAGTAAATTGAAAATTTATAAGAAATAAGACTGAACTGAGTATAAGTATATAAGTAAACATTCAATAAGTGTTTACTTTTCAGTATA